TGTAGAGGAAGTCGGCCTCTCTGTGCGTGAGGGGACCCTGAGTTGGCTATGTACTCCGGTAGTCTGGCCATCGGCGCAACCTCGGCCCGTCCCAGGGCATCGTACGCGCAGGCCTTCACGTAGCTGGCATTTATGTAAATTGCGTGCACTTCACTTATCTAGAAGTGTCGCACAAAGGGAAGGGTTAGGTGGTGGTTAGGGGAAAGGAAAGGGCGATTTAAATTCTATAAAATGCAAACAGGCTTCAAGAGGCGGTTTTGCATATCAACTAAATTAGTAATACTGTCAAGAACCAAAACGAGTGCCCTACTTAGGACAGTTAGGAGAACCAAATTTAGTAGTAGAGGCTAATTAAAAGTGGATTATAAGAGATGGCCAATCATTAAGGGATATGTGTTAATGCATGAAAGATTGCGCGTGCCACAGATCCGATAGGTTGCTGATCTTTGCAGTACGTGCCCCAGTCGCGATCGAGACGAACGATATTCTGATCATCTGTAAAGAAAACGCCCAAATGAACAACTGAAGGATCGGCCAGTGATAACCAAAATCATTAATTCGCTTCGGCAAATGAGGTTCTCATAGACATGTGAAGGTAAAAGTTGATTCCAAAAAAGTAGGTGGTTAAAGGGCCACACTCCACATTAGGCACTTCTTCCTGTTTAACTTTCAATCTTCCCCTTCTTGTTCACTCTTCTTGAGGCAATTTTTTTAATCTTTTTTTCTAGTTCGTGTTTTTTTTATTTTCACATGCTCAGCTAACTCCTTCTCTGGGTACCACATCGTCTCATTTCATTGAATTTTTATTTTCCCCAGCCTATTTCTTCTTATCTGCCGGCATCTCTGCCTCTTTTTTCCTCCAATGTTTTCATAAATAATCTTTTCCCGTCTTGTCTCACAAAAGTAAGGTCATGCCTGTCTATTGAGAGCCTGTGAGACAGGCGGCATTGTGAAAACTCGCCCTCGTCAGACCAGCAAGAGAACTTACAGGGCGGCATGTCCGCGTACCGGTTCTGAGTAGTCTCCATGGCAGCCATGAAGGTCGTCAGCCCATGGTCAACGTCCTGTTGCCTGGTAAGCTCCTCAAGTGTCTAAAAGTGTATAAGATAGGCAAAGCTGTACCACTACGGTTCACAGCGTCGGTTTTGATAAATTACTCTTTCGACCATCAATAA